CCCCTACATATACCCATCAATCGATAGAGCATCCTCGATAACCCTATACTTGGCCCGAACATGCCCATCACGTGTCCTCGCAATAGGGGCAAAAAGTTTGAACCCCCTTGGGTACTTTTCAGTAGTCAGACTTGAGAACGCAAGAGTACCCCCAATAGCAGGACTCGGGGATTCAAGGGTATCCCTCAATAGTAGGACTTCAGGACCTAAGGGTATGCCCCAATAGTAGTACCGTTACCCCGTTCCCGGGTAACTGGTAACGGGCCGTTACCGTTCCCGAGTAACTGGTAACGGAACCGTTACCCAGGTAACTGGTAACTTCTTCCGTGTGAACCGTTACCGTTACCGTTACCGTTACCGGGTAACGGTCTGGGAACGGTAACTGCCGACCCCTACTCTCTATCCGTTGATGTGAAAAAAGCTGTGCAAAAAAATTTTTACTTGAAGTTTGAATTGCCTGCACCTTAAGCAACGAGGGAATCAGGATATCGTTCAAATTGTTAAACATTCTATCAGTATTAAAGTCTGTCGGAAATTATGACAAATGATGTCTATTTTCAATTGAAAGCGAGGTAAAAAAGAATTCAACAGAAGATATATTATTGAATCTATATTTGTGAAAAGTACCCTCAGTATTCACGAAAAGGACAGAGAATGTTGAAGATTCTTGTCACTCATAAAGATTCCATCACATATCTCATCTAAAGTGTGAACTGTACTTATGAAAAAGAAACAGTGTGTGTTTTTATAGTCCAGATTTGTGAAACAACTTATTCAGGCGGAACTGCGAATGCTCAGTACTTCTGCATTGACCATCTAAACTGTTCTTCTTCTTGCAACTGGGTGAATTTGTGACCGTTTTGAACTATACTTGATTTTTTGACAGCAAATCAGTGTAAACAAATTGTTAAAGCAGTAATAGATCGGACGCCATGGATACAGTTTATACTTGCTACAAAGAATTTTGCAGCAACAACGACAACACTCCGAACTGTTATCTGTTTCGGAATTACCTTGTTTTGCCATGCACTTCGAATTTTCTGTACAACACCAAACTGAGCGACGTGATATTGTGTACGAACGCCACACTGCCCAGAGCCAACCAATCGATGTCATTGAAATTGCAACCGTGAAAGCAATCCACGTAAGTTCAGACGCCCGAGCTAGCCCCATGTACCAGAGAACTAGCCATAGCCCAATGCAGGGTATTATCGGGAGAATAATGCATAGAAGGCTCATCCAGCGATGGTTTTTATTGTATGATAGGTAATAAGTTAAGGGAACGATGGATCCAACAATGCCAAGTAGGCCACCGCATATACCAAGTGTGTCGAGCACATCCTTAGCAGTAATGGTTGGATATACCCATCCTACACACCAAGCCGTGGGAGAAGTGAAGGAAAAATTGACGTTTTGTCCTTGAGTACAATTGAATGGGCCAACATCATAAGTCCCATTTTGAGCGAAACAAAAAGCATTATAAACAGGACATGGATCACCATTTTGAAACAGCCCGTATTGAAGTATTAAAGCATTGAAAAGTATTCCCACAAAAACAGCTAAAATACCAGATGCTAATACGTCGCTGAATAGGCGCAGGATACATGGGAGTTGTGGAGTGTTCGTGTTTGTCTCATCATCATAATTGATGTATAGATAAGACTCAATAGGTGGCGTATTATCAGGGCCCTTTGTTTTCACGTCTTTCTCGATACCTTCTGTAGTAGTACCACTAGAAGCGTTTCCATCAGAGGTAGATCGGTTTGAAGCATTTTGCTCAGTGTTAATTTCCTTGTTTTTCGCATCCTTGTTCCAGTCAACGCCTAGAACGGTATGAAGAATAAACCAGTTACTACGTGAATTAATAATGGAGATGAATAAGAGAATTATCCCAAAACTACCAAATGGAACACCCCAAGTGAGTGCACCAAAGTTGGATGCAGTTGGTTGCATAATTTAACGATTGTAGAAAGATGCAATACGTAGCCGTTACCTCAGATTGATCGAAAAAGAATTAATGAAAACAAAATTAGATACTAGAAACACGACGTGGTTTTGATAAAGTCATCATAGTAAATAAATTTTAGTAAATTCTCAATACATAAATGAATGCAGACGAAAAGATTAGTTCCAGTATACTCTCAATAAAGAATAAGTATTTTGGGATGGACGTAAATTGAGAGAAAACGCTTACCTACGCCCACATACCCAAAAACTTCAGGTTCACTCGACCTGAAGCGTTGAGACGGATGGCCCATTTCAAGGTCTAGCGTATACTAATGCTCGTACCCTATTCATCATTAAGAAACATCCCACCTATGCTAAAATCTCTCATTAGTTGATTTCCTGCTTTCAGAGGAATTTTACGATTTCTATCGGATTGCATAGGTCAGGAAAACAACTTATGAGGTTTTGGTGTTAAACACTATGACGATTAAAGCTTGTATGCCTTCTATAATTTAAAAACTAATAATCTGCGGAAAACAATGCAAAAACGAAACAATGTAAAAGTCTATTTCAACAATTGCATTCTTGTCTAGAAATGAAGTTTCAATATTTTATGTGAAAGGTGTAAATGGGGATTACTACTATGAAAGAAAATGTAATGTTCAATATAAGGATCTATCTTAGGCATTTGTATTTTAGTGATTCATAGAACCGATGTTTGAAAAATGAATTCTTTATATTCTTTCTTGTTTTTCGAATTCTACATGTCGATAGTGCTGCCAATCATAATTTGATCCTAACATCAGAACAAGCGATTTTTCTATGCAAAACAAAGGTTTCAGTAACAACGCTTACTTGTAGACAAAAAATTTCGCTGTGAAGAAAGTTGATTGAAGCTGAAACGGTTTCAGACAAACAATAATGCTCATGCCGTATCTACTTGCTTTTATATAGTACGCCATCGAGTAAACAAAAGACTTTATAGAAAAATTACGCACCCAGTGAAAAATATTTATACAAAGAAACGAAATAAACGCTGTCATAAAAGTATTGAAAGTTACATGATCGATGAAAAACGCGTTCTCTACTTTGGTGAATGCATTTAAACTGAGAAGAATAGGTTCTATATATGAAGGAATGCGTTTTGTTGGCGCTCCGTTTTATTACGGAAGACTTTCTTTCCTACCCGAAACTATTCTTCATTTGAATAGAAACCGGTTCTAATCATTTCATTAACTAACCGGGCAAACAAAAAATAAGTGATGATACCCAACATGACTGTTTTAAGTGTTCACACCACCGACCATGTC